ACTTTGTCATTGAAGGAGAAAGAAGATACTGATTTCTATCAAACTTGGGACTCTTTTTATTATTGGCTAGAGAAACGGGACTTCTTATAGATTATGTTTCTATGTTATCATAAATGGAAAAAAAAGTGGGGGCTGACCCAGCAGGTTCGATGCTTTGATGATTGATGTTTTTTTGGTTTTTCTTTGTTTTTAGGACTAAAAATTTTGAATAAAACTTATTATAAAAAAAAAAGAAATCAAATAGATTTTGGGGGAATTCCTAGGAAAGAGGTGGGCAACATGCAGTCTTTCTGACGTTGATGGACTGCTACCCCCATCAGCCATAGCTAGCATTGTCAATAGAAAGGGATGATGAATCCATTAAAGTTGGTTAAACTAACTTCCAAAGAAGCACTGGATTTCAGGGATAATAGAATAAGAATTAGATCAGGGCTGTTGGGGTTTCTCAGTCTGCGATGACATGATTTGAAAAACACTTTCTGTGGTTGGGCTAGCAAGCTTCCTGTTCCTCCTCTTTGCTAATCTTCAATAACAAAAAGGGGCAAAACCAGGGTACCATTTGTGAATGACGACTATTTAGAAGCAGTTGAGTCTTGAACAATCCCGAACAGCACATTGAAACTTGAGACCCTCCATTTGGCACTAGCAAAAATTAATGGAGGCTTTTGCAGCTTCTTTCACACACACACACACACACACACACACAACCACAACCACTTAAATTCATTTAGTAATTATTCTTTTTTTCTATGAGCAAGCCTAGGAATCTCTCACCTAATGAAAAGGAACAACTCACTGGAGAAGAACCTGATGCTGGGAACAATTGATGGCAAAGGGAGAAGGGACAGCAGAGGATGTGGTGGCTGGATGGAGTCACTGGGGCAGTGGGTGTGGGCTTGGGTGGACTCCAGGGGATGGTGGAGGACAGGAGAGCCTGAAGGAAGGTTGTCCATGGGGTCGCGATGGGTTGGACATGACTTTGCAACTAAACAAAAACAAAAAAGGAATCCCTACCGGTGTATTCTTGGTATCATTGATCCCAGAATTCTTTGTTCGCTTCTTGAAGAATGTGCATGGATGTGTCAGCATGCATGCTCTTTGCTGTATTTGTTTACACCAGACAGGGCACCAAGTATATCCTGGGAATGAACAGCTCCCCAGTGCTTCCCAAATCCAACTTTAGCCATCTGCACCAACACTGGTTGTTCTAAAGTGGGCTTCAAAGGCAGAGATTTTGGGCTTCTCGACAAGGGACATTTCTTGTGTGATTACACTTCCTCGTTTATGGTTGTTTGTGGGTGCCTTACACAATGCCATCCTCCAGGGCCTTTCCTGTGCTTTCCAAGTATTTCCATGGCTTTTAAAAAGAACTGACGCACTTCCCACGCATTTCCCATGCAGAATAAAGAGGTCAGAGAAGCATATGCAAGTTCACAATTCTGCTATACCACAGTTCCACCTTGTGACTGTGTAATGGAACATATAGAAGGACAGAGAGAAAAAACCCTCACTTTCCAAGACTGGAAAAAGTGGTGTGTAAAGGGGTCAAACCATATCTTGCAAAGGATCTGGAAGAAGGCGGCTCAATAAATTGGGAGGCGAAAAGCCTCAGCACAAGCTGGTGCAGCACTTCACAGAAGTCCTCTTTTCTGCTACATCCAGTGTTCCACTTATGGGGGTCATACACCAAATCTATCCAGTAGAAAATGTTGATCACACCCACCAGGATGCTGCAGATAATGTAGAGGACAAGGCAGGCTTTCACCTAAACGAGAGGTGCTAATTAGTGTTGGGCCTTCTTTTTAAAAATGCCATTCGCATTCAGTGTGATAGAAAAGAAATTGCTTTTGAAAAGAAATTCAGGAGGAGGAAGCAGAATGATGGAAAGACATTTAATAGACAGAAAAACACACACACAGCACTTCAGTCACCTCACAGTGAGCTCAAAGGGCTTCTCTGCTTATTGTGCCCTCAGGATCCTTCATTTACGGGCATTTGCAGGATCTTTTCATGTGGTCCTCAGCTTCCAGGCCTCTCCTGAGTTTTTCAGCCATTTTCAGAACTTATTTTTGTAAGCAAGGAAAATCTCATATTTTCCGAGCTGGCAAACATTGTTCGCTACATAAGCCTAGTGCATTATTGCAGTTCTGATCTATACCACAATTCCAGCTTCTGCTGTGTAATGCAATATATAGAGAGGCAGAGAGGAAAACACTGGGGGGGGGGAGTAGGTGAAGGATGCTCTGTTCCTTTTGCAATGAAAACAGAAGCAGCAGCCTTGATTGCTTGGATCATATAGAGAAGCCCTAAAAGAAATTCAAATCAATTATACAATGCATCGAGGATGAGGAAGAAAAACTGAATCCACTGTCATGAGGAAAGGTGTTCAAATCTGTAAAGACACCACTGACTTTGACCAGATGGTGGGGAGGAAATAGCCCTTGAAGAATATAACAGGGGAGAGGCCTGCCTTGCCTTCTGTTAGGGTTCCCAGTGCATTTAGCAGGATCGGACCACTGGCTTTGTCTGCTGCAAGGGTCAGGATGCTGCAGAAATCAACTGGATCCAAAGCCTGAAAGAATAACGATGTAACAAGAATAAGACGTGCTCACTAAACTACACAAAGAATGCACGAATCTCTGTCCTCACTATGCCAAATGAGGGCTAGAATTACCATTCTGCTCCCAAAGCATTCTTTGAAACAATGCGGAAGGCCCACCACTTTATCATGCATTAAGGACACTTACGTGTGTGGAAGCAGAAGACGTTCAGACTTAGGATATTTTCTGGTCAGCTAGACCTGGAACAGTGACCCCGTGTAGGTGCTGAGAAGACAACCAGTACACATTTTGGAGAAGACTCAAGATGTACTGAATCACACCAGTCTGAGATAACCCAAGAAGTGGTCTGTGCTTGGTGTAACTCTCCTGTTGGTTTGACACAAGAGGGAGTCTCTGCCAGTTGTGAATCAACATCAAAGCATGCAGATATGTGTGTGTTAATTGGTGCATCTGTGAGTGTTGTAATTTGCATATGGAGTTACTGGATAGGTTTCTATTTCTCTCTGTATAATCAAGAAACGTTTTATCAGCAAGTGGCTTTTCTTTGTTTGTGGAGACACCGGTTGCTCTCAGGAGATGCCTTTCAGTTTCAGTTCTCTCTCTTGTAGTTGCTGGTGCTCAGCCTTTGCAAACCCTTCTTACCTGGCTGAACCTAAATGCAGAGAGCAGTTCCTTTTCCTCCACAAGTGTGTGGCTAAGGTGTATTCATAGTTATTCATCTGAGGTATAGCTTGCCTCTCCATCAAGGTAGTTAATATAATAAGATACATTTATAAATACTTTAAAATGATAAAAAAAAACCCACACTAAAAAACAGCACTATAAAACTCATCAAAGGAAGGGCCAGCTGAGGATGTCTGGCTCAAGAACCTTCCAAAATCNCTGCAGTGAAGCCCACAATTGTCAATTGCTCTTGTCCTAGCATTGCTGTAGTCCAGCTGCCCCCTGGAACTCCCATCTGTAGTAGATCCAGGAATCTGCCCATCACTCTTCATGCAGAAAGGAGGCAGTGGCAGCTTTTCCAAGGTATAATATGTTCAGGACCATGTAAGAGATGCTGCCACTGTCACAGAGCCCGAGAGTGCTAGGAAAAGCAGGCTCGGTCAACTTATGGGGAAGCCAACTAGAAATGGGTGCTCTTTGCATCTCTGTAGACACAAGAGGAAAGAAATAAGCGCCTAGCTGGAGCAGCCCGATTGCCAGCAGAAGCGCAGGCAAGAGATAAGCATTCATTATTCCACTCCAAAGGAAGCTGCATTGAGGAGATAAGGGGTAGCACAATTGGATGTCGGACACTGGTAATCTTAACATGGGATGGGGGAGGGGTCCTTGGCCATTCAAAACGCCGTGTCCTCATTGGACTACAGCTCCCATCAAGCCTAGTCAGCATGGGCAGTGGGCAGGTATTATGGGATTTGTAGTCCAAACCATCTGAAGGGTACTACCATCTTACCCCTAGGTAAAGGAAGCAACGGACCAGGTCAACGGAGGCCATTTCAATCCCACTGTCAGGGCAATTTTGCATGAGATGGACCCAGGAGGTGAGGACACTTACGCAGCAATGAGCTACATGTCAAGGAAGAACTTCTCATGAGCCCAAACCCCTAAATCCTCATGTACAAGGCTTATCCCCCAAACTCTGGAATAGCCAAACTCCAGCTGGTGACATGCCTTGCAAAGGATTCACAGTGCATTGACAAGTCTTTTCAATTAAAACCTATCAAATAAATCACAGAAATGTGAAGTAAGGGTTTTTTCCTCCCCTGAAATATTGAGCAATCTGCCCACCCCACAGTAGATCATGTGTCCTACATCATCCCCCCGCCCCGCCCCCTGCCATTCCTGCCTCAACATTCTTCCTCATGAGTGTCCCTAAATTTTGTTTTGTTTTGGTTCTAACATATCAGGAATGCAGAAGCAGTTATAAAGCATGGAATAGCAGTGTAGGGGAAGAAATGTTAGTTGTGAGCATCCAAAAGCCCCTCATTGCCCATATGACATATGAACATAAGAAAAGCCATGCTGAGCCAGACTAAAGGTCTATCTGGCCTAATCCTCTGTATATGCAGTGGCAAAGCAGCTGCCCACAGGATCCCTCAAGCAGGTTGGGGGCAACACCTCTGCTTACCCAAGCTCCTCAGCAATTGGTTTGTGTAGGCATGGCACCTGTGGGAAAGGAGGTAGCATGTAGCCTTGAAGTCCAGCCAATGCAACTATCTAGTTGCATCACTAGGCATTGCCTGTATCACTGCTTCACCAGCATTAACCACATGCCCAAACCACCAAAAGCATTTAGGGCCCAAGTTCATATTGTCTGACTACTGATATTTTTT